AGCTCAGCAAACGACGATTGGTTAATGAGGCGGATCAACGATAGTCACCCACCAACCGAGAAGAGAATGACAGAAGTGACGCAGCCACGTCAAATCAGTTGGAACCACTCATTTGGGAAATTAACTCAATTACGGTCAAAAAAAAAATAAAAAAAATCACTCTTCTACTCTCCTGCACTTGCGGCCGACGAGGCGCTCCTAACACCGGCAAGTCTTTGATGACCGAAAGAAAGAAGAGATGGGGCGGGCGGGGGCGTCAGCAAGTTCTCGAGCGTTCTTTCGCCGGTACTCTGCGATGCCTTTTCCGTGAACATTGGAGTTATCAAATACTTGCAGTTAACCAATGTGCCGTGAAAGCTCGAAGGGGAAATGAACACATTTCACTGAATTGGTGAGAAAATGATTTCATTCCAAATCATGTAGCTTTGTTCATCTGTCAACAACTTCTCGTGAGAAAGAGCAAATAAACGATCTTCTATTGGATGGCAGAGTATGAAATTGGCCGATGTATCCTCTTTTTGCGACTCTTTATTGGGGTGCGGTGCGATTTGTTGAACTTAAAACCTGTGCAATGGCACAATAAAGGTTGAGTTCAATCACGTGCAAGTTGCCTCTCGCTGACCTCTGGATCTTGGCCCGTTTTGCTCAACTCAAAAGTGTATTTCTCGAGCACTTGAAAACAACCACCGCTGTGTACAAAGTGCTGCGTATGAAAAATTGTTACAACACACAATAAAAGACAAGAATTAAAATTGAAGGCGGTGGAAAGCACAAAAAGTCCAAATCAAGTCTCATGCCAGTCAAAATCCAAAGAAAAAAAAAAAAGACGACTTTGAAAGCTGGGCAGCGAGGCAACTTTGTGGGACCAGAGCACGTTTGGGGCACACCAAATGTAGCCACATGAACGATGGGCGTCCGTACGTGAAGGTGTGGTTGGTGAAGAGAAGAAAACAGCACGTCATTTTAGAAAAAAAAAAAAACTTTATTTTTTTTTGCAGAACAAGGAGGCTGGACAAAGTGGCGATGGGGGTGGCTCGTCGATCAGTCAGAAATAAATAAGGTGGTTGGTGTGTGTGTGTGTGTCTGGGGGCATTGACCTGCACCCCGAAAACACACTTTCATCAGTCCGCACCGAAATGAGCCAAGAGTTCGACACCTGTCATCAACGCTAAGGACGCTACTTAAGAAGAGAAATCAAGTTTTTGAACAAGCCAAACACAAACTTGTTCATGGGTCACCCAGCCCCCCCCCCTCCCCCCCACGTGTGTGGACTAGTTTAACGACGACACGGGCGACTGACGTCCTGCAACGTTAGTGGCATTTCTGACAAAGGGGCAATAGAAATGGGAATCATTTGGTAGCCGGCAGAAAGATCGCGTCTTTTTTTGTTGTTGTTGTCCCTGAGAAACACAAAAGACGCGCGAGCGTGTGTTTTGGTGTCAGTGCAAAAGGATTCTGAAGTGAAGTGAGGCACCTCAGGTCAAGTCAACACCTTGAACGGCGGCGGGTCAGAGGTCAGCGGTTGTAACCGAGAGAGCGGGACGGGCCGCAAACAAACCAGTCAATTCACAACGACCTCTGACCCCCTGTGGTCCCATTAAACGCAGTCAACGGGTCACCTCTCAAGAGTGTCGCGGTTGGGTGGGGGCAAAAGGTGACCCGGCTCAGTGGCGAGCTCGCTTGGCGGGCGGAGTGGCGGCGGCGGCGTGTTCCGACAGGCCCAATTTGCTGAGCTGGGCGCGGAAGAACTGCTGCAGGCGCAGGCCGGCCTTGGCCTCGTTGCTGTGGCGAGCGTTGTACTGGAGGCAGTTGGAGAACATCAATTCCACGTCTGAGATGAAGTCCCCTGCGTGTGAACACATCCAACAAGTTGGAGAGCCATTCACAAAATGGCGGCCAACGAAGCGCAAGTCGAGCGACTGGCCGAGTTGTGAACAGGAGAACGAGAAGCAACGGAGGAGCTCCTAAGTTCTGCGATTCTCATCGATCTTGGCTGTGTAGCATGGAATGGAGTCAGAGCTCCATCTCGTGGACAAACGGTGCAAGGACATCCATCATTTCGACGAGCGTTTATGGTTTGGACAGATATCGCTGACCAGCATTTTGAAAAGAGATCAAATCAGTCGGGCCCTAGTTGCCAGTCACGTGAGAGCGCTGCAGTCTTCTGCAAATGTGTGTGTGAGTGTGTGTGAGTTTGGGATACCCGAGTTGAGGTACTGGCAGTTGTTGACTTTTTCTCTGATGGTGCTGAGCGCCATAGGTTTGCTGATGATGTCGTAGTAGTCGGGCACCTGCGCAGAAGAGCGAGACGGGAAGTGGCACGGCGACGCCGAGGCTGGCGCTCGCTCGCTCGGTAACCGAGCTGACCTGCGTGCGTGTCACCAGCTTCATGAAGGGCCAGCTGTCGTCGTGGCGGACCAGCTCCACGATCAGGAGCTCGCACGCCGACAGCTCGTGGACGCCTTGGTTCCTCCCGGACGAGCGGCGGCTACCCGAGGACGAGGCGCCGGCGCTAGACGGAGACGGGAGGACCGGCTTGCAGCTTTGGGTTGGCGCCGCGTCTACCAGAGGCAGGGGGGGGGGACAAACTATCTCTAGGCGATATTTTTCCACAGCTTTGCTGCCCAATGTCTATACCGTTGATGTCCCAAATGAAAGCACATTTTCAGAAGATGCTTTTGCTCGTTCGTCAGAATCGTCCGCTACGGCTTACGATGTCGTCTTGACAGAAACGAACACAAACGCGTCTTGGCTGTTACACCGGAGGGAGGGGTGAGCTCAGATGCGGCGGCCATCTTGCATTCACACCAATCGATGGCGCGTGTACAGGAGTTGCGAAAGCGCGGCCGAGCGATCGGGATGCTGGAGGCGGGAAAAAACCCCGCGACGTCAACGCCAGCGTACCTGCAGCGGACGGTCTCTTGCGACCCGCCGACGTTCCCGCGGCGGCACCGTCGTCGTTCTTGCTGCCCGACGCGGTGGCCTTGGACAGAAGAGGCGGGGCCTTCTTGCCCGATGACCTGAGAGTGACATTTTCCCCAAAAAGGTACGGCAACAGTGAGCAACGGCTCCCGGCGACACCCGCCAGTGAACGACACCTACTTGGATGTACTTTTCCCGTTGGACGTCGCGGCGCTCTTGGGGGCGGCAGGCTGACTTTTGGCCGCGGCCTGACCGCTCCTGCCTTTCGGGGGGGCTGCCGGACCCTTCTTGCTACTGGAGGGTGAAAATGTGCCGTTTTCAAAAGCAGCTAAGACGAGAAGGCAAAAATGACGTCTTCGCGTCTGCCGACAAAAGTGGCCGAGCTCGGAACATCATCGTTTCATATCATCCAAGCGGTGTTGTTGTTGTGAGTCTTCCATTTTTAGACGCAGATCTCTGCCCGGGAAGCTCCACAAATCACTTTGGGTCATAAAAAGCTAATTATAGCAGCCCTTGAGTGACATCAGACAACAGAGGCTCAGCCAATAATTGCCTTCAGCGTCGCGTCAGCAGCTAATAATAAGCTCAGCTCGTCATGGCAGGAGAGGCACGAGGGTTCTACCCGAGAAAAAATCTATCAGTCTGTCCATTTGTTTTCAATTAACCGATGGCTCAGATAACCCCCCCCCCTCCCCCCAATCCCTTTTATTATTTCAAGAAACCGCCCGACCGTATCGGCGGATGACGAGGCCGTTCCCGAAAACGGAAAATGTTTTCAAAAGTAAAAGCAATCCTTGCAAAGGTGCGAGAATATTCCCTCTGCTTTCATGGCGGACAGAACGCTTGCCGTTGAGAGGCAGAAATTCAAACGATCGGACGCAGATCGCTAAGCCGTGATCAAAATAGTCATCGTTTATAATTGTTGGGGGCTAATAAGAAGCTAGGCTAAGAAGAAACGAGCGTCTTCCATCAGCACCCAACAAATACGAGAAGCAAGTAACACTGCGAGCTATCGTCAGCGGCTAATCACGAACGCTAAGCTCATGATGGCAGGAAATAAGTCGGGAAGGAAGGTCTGGCGCTCAACAACTTGACTGGTGCCAGTTGAGGCATTTTACACACACGACAACAACAAATATTTGCATCAAAGTCATATTTTTCCACTAAGCTCATGATGGCAGGAAATAAGTTGGGAAGGAAGGTCTGGCGCTCAACAACTTGACTGATGTTGTGTGCGTCAAATGCCTCAACTGGCAACAACAAATATTTGCATCAAAGTCATATTTTTCCTTTCACGAGAGTTGGTTTTCTTTTTTTTTTTGGGGGGGGGGCTAGATTTAATAAAACCGACCTAACTGGAAAAAGACAGCCTCTAATGTATCGTTGTTCGCTGGATGCGCTGTTAACAAAAAGAACAGAATATTCTGTGGGTCTTGAAAGTTGGTCAAAATGCTGGCAAAAAGCGCAAGCGACGGCGGCGGCGGCGGCCTCACCTCCCAACAACCTCGGCGGGCTCGTCCTCTGCGGACTCCTCCTCGTCCTGCGACCCGTCCTCGGCCTCTTCTTCCTCTTCCTCATCTTTGTCCTCCCGTAGGGAAGACCGCCGGCGAGAAGGAAGGCGGCCGGATCTCTTTTTGGGCCGGCAGTCGGGACAGAACCATTGGCCCTCCGGAACGCCCTGGGAGGGGGGGGGAAGAAACACGGTCAGCGCGCGGCCAAGAGCCCAGGGACCGCCGTCTACGGGCGGGCGCCGCGCCACCTTGAGGCGCGGCCGCAGGCAGTGCGTGTGGTGGCCGCGGTCGCAGGCGTCGCACAGCAGCATGTTGTCGGCGTCGCCTTTGCGGCGGCACACGCGGCAGCGGGCGTTCAGGACCGAGCGAGACCACAGAACGCTTCTGTCCAGGATGGCCAAGTGAACAAACACCTACGCGGGGGAAACGCAACAGGGGAGGTTGAGATTGAAAAATGTTTTGAATTCAAAATGAAAAAATTACAAAGGCGGCACCGATGACCTGAGACAGACTGGAAGACGACAGGAG